AGCTCTATTTATATGAAATATTAGGAAACATAAATTTCATTTATAGAGAGAAAAAGCAAGTGTGTGGTTGCCTAAAGCCAGAAATGGAATTGTTTTATTAGTAAGTCACTTTGTAAAAGACTTTAAATTTCTTTGTGCATTATTTGTGTAGTTTAGTTGGTTTTAAAGTCCATCATATAAACGAAGTTCAGTTCTTGTCTTAATGGAACTTAAGATATAGCAGAGATCTTTGAAGCCAGGTGATTGTGAACATGAATCCCTTATCACTCAGTCCTAGCTATATGAATATATTTCATCTCACTGAGCCACATATGCATAAACTATGGGTAGATAATGATGCCTATTTCCCATTAGAAAATTAAATGAAANGACAACCCCAAGCCAAGGTTTGAGATCCCCTTACCGGTCATCTTTAAAAAAAAAAAAAAAATTAAAATTGAAAATACCAGGACCGGCCCCATGGCTCGGGAGAGTGCGGCACTGGGAGCGTCGTGGCCACGGTTCGGATCCTATATAGGGATGGCCGGTGCACTCACTGGCTGAGCGCGGTGCATGCGACACCAAGCCAAGGGTTACGATCCCCTTACCAGTCACAAAAAAAAAATTGAAAATACCAAATGTTGGTAAGGATATGGAGAAGCTTGAATTTATACATTCTTGGGAATGCAGAATGATTCAGCCAGTTTGAAAAACTGTTTGGCAGTGTCTTACAAAGTTAGACATGCAGTTTCCATATGATCAGCAGTTCTACTCCTACTTATTTACCCAAGAGAAATGACTTCCACACAGACTTATGCAGATGTTCACAGCAGCTTTATTTGTATTAACAAAAAGTGGAAAAATTCAAATGTCTCTCAACAGGCTAATGGAGAAACAAATTGTAGTATTATTTGTACAGTGGAATACTACTCAGCAATAAAGGTGAATAACATATTCATACATGCAGAAACCATGGATGCCTCTCAAAAACATAATGCTGTGAAAGAAGCCAACAGAGAAAGTTCGTGAAACCAAAATCTGGTTCTTTGAAAAGATCAATAAAATTGATGAAACTAGCTAGTATGAGCAAGGAGAATAAACCATGCAGGTTACCAATATTAGAAGTAAGAGTATCAATACAAATCCTGTAGACATTAAAAGCATAATAGCAACATGTGCCAATAAATTTGCTAATTTAGGTGAACAGGATAAATTCAAATATTCTTTATGAACATAGACATAAAGATCTTTAATAAAACATGAACAAATTGGAACCAACAATATATAAAAGGATAATACTTCAGGTATTAGTAGGGTTTATCCCAGGAATGCTAAGTTGAAAATCAGTGCATGTTATTCACCATATTGTAGAATAGATGAGAAAAACTAAAGAGAGAGGACTTAACTACTGATTTCAAGACTTACAGTACTTAGGTAGTTAAGAGTACTTACAATACAGTACTTACAGTAGTTAAGACAGGATGATACTGGCTTACGGGCAGAATGAAGAGTCCGGAAATAGATGCTCATATGTGGCCAGTTGACTTTTGACACAAGGTAATTCAATGGGAAAGGATATTCTTTTCAACAGATTGTGCTGAAACAACTAAATATATTGGAAAAACAAAAAAGGTATATGGAAAGTATATGGTGTCACACCATACACAAGAGAGTGTATATTGTATAGCTCTATTTATATGAAATATTAGGAAACATAAATTTCATTTATAGAGAGAAAAAGCAAGTCTGTGGTTGCCTAAAGCCAGAAATGGAATTGTTTTATTAGTAAGTCACTTTGTAAAAGACTTTAAATTTCTTTATGCATTATTTGTGTAGTTTAGTTGGTTTTAAAGTCCATCATATAAACGAAGTTCAGTTCTT